AGTCATGTAAATCATTGTATTAGCCCAACTTCCAAGTTCTAAATAACTTCCTTGTAAATTTACCTTGCATTATATTATCTAAACAAAGCATTAGTTTGCAGTATCTTATTCTGTGCTTTTCTATCTTAACACTGTCTGTACTGGTTTTTGATACTATGCATTAACATTTGTGTTTTCCCTACAAGATTCATGTTTGATTAAATGGAAGATTTTTCTTATGTTGTTTTATTCTTTAGTCATTACTCTCAACACATTGATCAATCTAAGGATTTATAGAAATTTTTGCACTTATTAAATAAGGCAAATACTGCTTATGTATTAACATTTATTATTAAAATCACTAAAAACCCATTTAAGGGTTCAAAATATCCTGCTCTATAAATATAAAGAAAAAGATGATTCATTCTTAATTCAGAAACCAAGAGTCTAATACATCCTACTTTTTGCTACAGAAGAGTCAATGTAAAATGAAAAGTGTTTTCATATGAGAAATAAATAAGACAATATTATCCCAAAAATTACAAGGATCATTCATCAAGAGAATGCAGGGCTCTTTTCTTTCTTGAAAAAAAATGTGTCTGTGTGTGTGTATGTATATATTTATATATATATACATATATACACTTAATATTTTATATATAATTATGTATTTATATATATACACACACACATACACACTATGCATCATATAAATTGATGCATCAATGATTAATTAAATCCTGTCCCACAGCTCTGAATGATGTATCACATTCTCCAACTATTAAATAAAATGTTTAATTGGCAACTTGGTTCTGAAACTTTCACTTTACTGAAATTATTCCGTATTGTTTCTATGAATTGAAAGGTATCCAAATCCTTACTCTTGTTGTGTGAACACATGCAATAAATTTCCACAGAATGGAATGGTCACTGTTTGTAACTTCATTTTAGAAACAAAATCTGTTTAATCTGGTCTATGATTCTGAGAATAACTTTATTTTTAAGCAACAATTTTTAATATACATGGCATACTTGAGGTGTACTTGGGTAATAAGAATTAAAAAGTAAAGAAACTGAACACTTAGCTGAGACTTTGATTTGCAAGTTTTCTTAGTTGAATTTTCTAAATCTGGTAGTTAACAGATCCCTTAGAATGATATATCCCATATTTAATCTTTTACTGTAAAAATGTAATCAGAACAAAGTATTTCTGATTGAAATGGAACAAAATATGAAGATGTTGAGACTAGTTATTATACAGCAGTACAAGTGCTTAAAACAGAAATTAAACTTGTAATTTAATCCTAATTTTACACCAACTCCCTATCATGTAGATGTTAGCAAGTCCTGACTTTCTAGTCTTAATTTGACTAAAAGAAAAATATCAGTTCTCATGACTGGTTAGGGAAGAGCATGACACTAAAATACACGTATTGGAATATTTTAGAGGTTTCTAGGATAGTATTCAGATATGTTTAGTCATAAAATTCATAATAACCTCTTTAATTTTAATAACTGTGTAACAGATTCTAGGAACTGATTTTGGACAGTCTTTCAGATTCTATTAAGAATATACATAGAAAAGGACTGGCTCAAAAAAAGTAGAGAAATGGAACATGTACAATTTCTTTTTCTGTTTAGCTATCAGAATTAATGACTGGTATTAGTAAAAACCACTATAGACTTTAGTAATCAGAAATGTAATATGGAGACATACATAATTATACATGGAATATAATTAAAAAGAGGCTGAGATCTCAGAGAATTACCATTTTCCTAACTTTTATTCTATTTTTTAAATAACAAAATTACTATGGCAATATGAATTACATGAATGGTAATAATCTTTGGGGAAGTATATGAGGTGCTAGATTAACAGGAACTTTTTAGAAATCCCAGGAACAGGATGAAAAGGTTAAGTCATAAATTATTTAGTTTAATAATTTAATTATTTTGCTGTATTTAAATAATATACTATTTTAGAAAATTTTAACTTTACTTTTATTCAAGAGATACATTAAAAGGAAGACCAAGCATTCTAAAAGCCTGAATTATCTGTCATGAAAAATACTGTGTTAGTACTGTCTATAAGATATGTACAGGATTGAGCGGCTGTGGGTATTGTTTTCCTCCAAAGGCTGTCTTTGGTATATGAACCTTTAGCTCAAGAATTTGTAATATGTTACATGAAGGTGTTCCTGGTGAAGAGAATTGCTGCTAATTTTCTTATTTTAAAACAAAAAATGACATAATTATTTTAAAAATCTGAGTTAAGATTATAGTCTATTAACTCAGAATATATGTGCCTACTTACTTGTCTGATTACCTATGATACTTTAACACTGATCATTTTCCTTGAAAAGTGAAATTGAATAATCAAAGCTCTACTCTTTGGGTCCAGTACATAATTTATAATGTTGCTGACACATCAAACAAGGGACAAAAGAAATGGTTAATGGAAAAGCTCCAAATAGAAGTCCCCTGAAAATAACATCAGAAAAGTGTACTACTATAAAAGAAGCAATGATTTTGAAAATTTTTATTTTGCATTGGGGCCAAAATATTATCAAATCAACTGCAATGTTAGTGTGGCTTAAGCATCCTCTATCCTGCCAATATAATCTTTATTTTACAATGTGAGCATGATGCTGTAGCTAGAAAAGAAAAAAAGAGGGGGGAAAGAGACAGAAAGTAAAAAAGATGGAGATGAGAGGACAAACCAGTCAGATTTGGAATTACCAGTCAGCAGAAGTTTAAGGGGGGAAAAAATCATCAAGTGAAATCGTACATTTACTCTGAGAGAGTATCCTTTCACATTGCCTTCTAGGTGATCTCTGAGCTCCTCCAGCTTTCGATGGAGCTACATGTAAACATCAGAAAATGAATTGAAAAGGCAACTTGTTCTCTTTTCAGTTTTCCTCTTTTTCCTTTTAAAAATAAGATCATAGCATTATACATTTCTCACTGCCTTTGGCAAACATTTCAAAGCATCAAAGATCTTTGTATAACATAAGAAATACATGCTTAACAAACCCAAGACTGAGAAGCCAACATTTTACTTTATTTTTTAAATTAGAGTATCTTTTCTCCCCAGCATTAATGTAAACAAATACTATGACTATCCTTATAATTCCCAAGAGATTAAATTTTTCTATTTGGCAGAAATATTGAGTAAAATTATTTAAAGAATATGAAATTTGCCTTTGTTTCTCAAACATACTTTTTAAAATTTAAGGCTGCATCCATATTGAAATAACTGATGAAACTGTAAATATGTCAATTTGTTCTTAAGCATATATGTGTATATACATAATTATACTGTATATACACTTAAAAGTAATAAACACACATATATAACCTGATGTTCTATATATCCAAAAGGTGAACTTGAGATAATCTCACATACACACACACACACACACACACACACACACACAATTTCACATATAATCCAGTTTAAAGCAAAAGATGCTACAGTTATGGATGCCATTTTTTCCTTAGTTAACTACCATAATTTTAAAAAATGTTGTACTGCACCCTCTCACTTGAATCTGTCATAATCCATATTCTAAACAATAATGGAATTATCTTCTCTTAAAGACAAGGTAAGATATGATACCTCACAAGCAGACAGTGAGGAATGCTACTAATATATCATCACATTTTCCTGAATGAATAATCTTAAGTTGCCTTGTTTTTGAAATAAGCATACAATCAACACTTCCCACCCCTCTGATTATCCTTAGTGAAATAACATTTTAATATAATAGTTACCCACTATAAAGCAGTGTTAGAGAACAGAGAGGATGGCTTTTCAGGAATAAAAACACAAACATACAAACACACCTTCATCCATGTGCACTGGTGTGTGCACACACAAATAAATAAATAAACAACAACAAAAAGTAAAACTAAGAAGGCAGAAGAGGCAACAAGAGAAAAGAGTGCAGAAGTTTGTGTTTCATAAATTGCTAAATGGAAATAAATTAGAGGTGTGTAAAATTTTGAAATGACTCAATATTAAGTCTCAAGGCAGTTACTGAATTTTAAGACACTTCAGTGCATTGAATTATTTGGTATTTTGATTAACAGTTACTATTACTGTAAAGCAAATGGGATTGAGTTATAAAAAAGTGCTTAACTTTGTGGGTGATTATTCTGCATGTTTTTAGAGTTCAGCAATTTTCTAACTTGCATTTATGGTGGCAGCATTAAATGAACAATGACTATGTCTGTTTCTTAAGGGTGAGAACTTGCTTACCCTTTCATTATGATTAAATGTTAAGAGTACGGAGTGACCAAGATATATTGACCAAGTGGTATTTAGCCATTAGCAAATAGATAAATCAGAAATCTACAAGTTGTATATTGTATACATGAATGGGTAAATGTTTAGATAAACCTGTGATAATGGCTATAGTTACATCAATTTTTTTAAACTTAAAGAAAAAAAAGGGGATTTAGAGTGTTTAAACACTTAGCTATATGTGGGCCCACTAACTAGCATCTTATAAAGTTCTTTTCTAGTTCCTAAGATTATATGTATTCAATACAATTATTAACTCACAACGATTTTTTTCTGGACTGAACTATAGCTGATAATGACACTAACATAACATTTAATTTTTTTTAAACAAAAATGTTAAAAGGGGAAATAACATTCTAAAAATATATTAGTTCTCTGTGTAGAGGATATTAACACACAATCAGTGACATCAGTCAGAGGAACGGTTTACTCTAGAACCCCAAATTATAGGCACCTGTAAGGAGGCAGTTGCCCTTTCTCTTGTTTGTGGTGCCATTCAAAGCTAGTTATTTGGCATCTTGCCTTCAGCTGGTTGCTCTATGTGTAGCTGAAACAAAAAAAAATAATATGACCCAACAGCCAATAAAAATAATTAAAATAAAAAAAATGGGATGGTGAAAAATGGAAAAGCCCCCTTCCTCCCACCACCCTCCAAAAAGGAAGAAGTGTAGGCTATAGACGAAATCTTGCCAAAAAATGTTAGAAACATATTTACTTTGAGGGATCCAACTCTACTAGCAACTCCTTTGCTTTCATCCGGCCGTCTAATTTGCTACAATGAGGGAAGATGGGTAAAAAAGACAGAATAAAGAAAAAGTGAACTTAAAAATTTTTCTACACATTATTAAGTAATACATGCAAAAACATTAATTGACTCTTTTAGGTACGTATTAGGAGGCCAAGGAGTTAATTAACCCAGAAGGCTGTATGACATGCTTTGTAAATAGGCTGACCACTAGAATTAAATCTTTGTATGGCACTATTCCTGAGATGAGGAAATTGGCACTTACTTTTGGTTATCTTGGGGACTTCTGATGAAGCAGTATCTGCAGTAGTGTTACATTTGCATTTGGCTTACAAAAAACAAAGAATTACAAATATACCTATGCACTTATTCTTTTTCAGTCTTGAAGTGTCTATTCCATTGTAATACCAGAAAACCTCAATGGTATGACTAGAAACATGAGTGTTCTCTAAGTAAAAGGATCAGTCCTGACAAGCATCATTCTTGATAGAAGACAGAGTGAAGCTCCTCTGCTTGCTGACCCAAGCATTGAGGTTGTTCAGCTGTCACTGAGATTCCCAATTAAACAATTGTGCTGCCCAACCAGAAAATTTTAATGCCAGACCAATGTTAGAAAGATTCACTCCTTCAAAGCTTTCTGTTATTTCAGCTGAATTTTCCTCATGTAAGTGAAAATGAAAAGTAAAATTGCTATTTTAAAAAATTTATTCCATACCATTATACAAGGAATAAAGGAAGATTCTCAATACAAAGTATCTTTCTAGATGAGGTGTTTTATAAATAGAGCTCTTAAGAACTAATGTTTTGGTGAAAGAGGGAAACAAGCCAAAGAATAAAAAGTAAAAAATAAAAAGAGTGTGTATGAGTGTGGAAGTTTCAGATCAAGTGTTTTTTTCCCTATTCTCCTTCATTTTCTGTGGTGCTAGGGATTGAACCTTTGATACATGCAAGGCAAGAAACCAATGATTTTGTAATATAAATTCCTGCAACTGAAGAATAAGGTCTCAATTCAGACTAGCATGGGTGAAGTTAGACATGTTGTTCCTTATTTATCAGCAGATAGTAGAAGAAGTATCAGTGTGATGCCAAGTCCCTAGCTTTAAAAATCTCAGAAAAATAAGTAATACCAGAAATCATCTAAAAACATAAGTGTTCTCTGAAAATAAGAAAACTAGCTATAACTACAAAAGTTTATTTCTTGGAAGCAGGATATAGATTGTCTCATTCCTTTTAGGAATGTCTCTGATAGCACAAGGAGATTGATGAGAAAACTGAATTTTTGTTTTGAAAAAAAGCATCTTTGTACATTAGAATTACATCAACTTTTGGTTTTACGTGATATAAATAGTTTGTGTTAATGTTTCATCATTAAATAAATGTTTTGACTAAAAGATAATCATCAATTCTCACTCTTCTTAGTCAAACAGAATTGCCAATTTTAGAAAAAATGCAGATGAATTAGATCATCAACACTTGATGACTTCTCAAGGGAGAGTTAATTCACAGTGAGTTCATAATATTTACTCACTTTCTTGTGCTATTTCCTTTTAATCTCAGAGAGCACCTTCATTTGGAAAGCTGTCTCTCATCTTAAATGGAGACTCACAATATTTGAAATATAGTCTTGATAGTTTCCTATAAAAATAGAATCTAATGCCTTTCTAAAGGTTTTTAGAAACTGTGAAGATTTTTGAATTATTATACAATAACAAGTACAGACTATTTTCTACACTGTTCTTTATTTCTAAAAGGCTTAAAATTGTATTAATTCAGCAACATGAGTTGTCTTCTTCAAGGTTACAGGGGTGGCTAATTACAAGTCTAGGAACAATACCTACCATTGCTGATTTCTAGTTTGAACTTGTATTCCCTAATAGGTCTAGAAATAAATGGGGCTAGAAAAAAAATTGATGTTTATAAAAAGATGTAAATTTATATGTCTATCTATTTCTCCATCTATGTAACAAATTTTATCTGCTAATATATTTATATATAAAAGAAAAATTCCCTGTTTCATTTCAGTTCCAAATGTACGCACAAGAACAGAAATTTAAAGAATAAATTATAAGAGAAAAAAAGACAGTTACTCCTGAACTCTGAATTTGAAAAATAGATCATAGAACCGATATAAAGACTCTGGGAACAATTTATTAATGCTTGACATCACTTTTTGACCACAAGTCTGCCTATGAAACTATTACAAAAGAAAGACTAGAAAACCAATGTGGTTTTTAAAGCCAGAAGTGGTGGCATATCAAGTTTCATGGTATTTTTTTGTTTTGTTTTGTTTTTGGTGGCTCCTGAAACAGATAAAAATACCTAATACTGAAAATTTTCAGAAAGAATTGGAGAAAGGTTTGTCAATATAAACTCAAATTTGAGTAATGGGAAAAAGTGAAATTAACAGGTTTAAAATGTAATATCCTCATTTATTCTGGTCAACTTTTAATGGTTAATTATAATGGAGTAGTATAATTCAAATGTCTGATAATTTTTCAGACAATAATTAACAAAAATAAGAGTAGCATTTGGATAAGATGAATTCATTTACTTTATGATGATGTACAAGCCTCACCTTGTTAGCTTCTTTTTGAATACTGTTCTATAAAGCCAAACATTCTCTGTCATTAGATAAATAGTTTGCATAGCTTGAATATCCCTTACCCAAAATGTTTGGAAGTAGAAGTCATTCTACTTAATAGAATGTTTTGGATTTTGGAATATTTGCATAGATTTTACTGGTTGAACATCCCTAATCCTGAAATCCAAATTACTCCGAAATCTGAAACTTTGAGTCCTAACAGGACACTCAAAATGTTTAAGATTTTGGAACATTTTGAATTTCAGATTTTCTGATTAGGGGTGTTTTGTTTTGTTTTTATTGTACAGGGGATGATTGAACCCAGGGGTGTTTAACCATTGAGTCACATATCTAACCTTTCTTAATTTTTATTGGTAGTCAACCTGTATTACAATAGGATCATTACAATATGAAGCAAGTTTGAGAATTTGATGTTAAGAATTATGAGGATTACCAAGTCTGTTGAGATTATTAGAATATTTACATCATGGAAATAATTTTACTACACTGAAGAAATCTTACAAGCAAATAACCAGGAGATCAAAAACATTTCAATCATCTATTCAGTCTCTAAGTTAGAATATTTTAAACAAAATGTCCATTAGAAATATTCTGCAAATACTATACTACACTGCACCATTTCTTTTGCAATATTTGGGAACTCTTTCTTTATGGATTAATTACCGATGCAGCTATATTCAGGGATCATTAACAGGATGAGGCCTAGTGAAATAATTCTGCCATTTGTGTTTACCTTTTCTCTAAGAATATGAATTCTAGAAATACCATGTAACACAAGAAATTGCCTGGATCCTAATCTAAAATGATGTCCATTCACTTTCATTTAGTCCACTTTTCTAAAACTGAGCTTACTACAAAACAATTTCTGTTGTTACTAAGATAGAAAACTAACGCCACCCTGACTTTTGTGTAAGTAATAAAAAAATTAAATGCTATATTTTTCATTAAAATTAGCATACACTTTGGAGTAGAAAGCCTACTTTTTAAAAATTTTAAAAAAATAAAATATGAAATTAAATTAGGCTTATGCAGTTATGGTAAGGCGGCTCCTATATAACTGGGCATAGACATTTACAGTTTGCTTCAGTTATAAGATGTTTGATGACAATATTTTAGAAAAGGTTATATACTTTGTTTTACTAATGAGGAAATTGATGTCTAGAGCAGTTCACTGGGTTTCTGAACATATCAATTAAAAAGAAAAGCATAGCTGCTATTAAATTCTCCACTTTCAGGTCTTTCCTCTAAATTTAGGCTCTTGCCTATGGAAAGGACAATAATGTAGGTCTCCTTTCTCCCCATGATAATATTTTATATTTATTTAGATTAAGATTGCATAGATAAAACATTTCTTCTTGTTTGCCCTAAACACTGGATCATCTTATTTTTAGAAGTATCTAATTTACTTTTAGATCTACCTTGAGAGACAAAATTTTAACCATATGATATTATACACTGCTTTAAAAATATTATAGGTATCAATGATAAATAAATTTTTTTTCCTTAAAAATTGCTTATCTTCCAACTAATATCACTGAGTATACACTGATATAGCTATAGATTATTTCTGGTGGCTATAATTTGAAGGAGTAGATTTTTTTAAAAAAGTTTTGCTTAGAACATCAGTTAGGGCTGGTAGAGCACTTGCCAAATATATTTGAGGTTCTGGGTTTGATCCCCAATACTAGGGGTGGGGTAGGTTCAGCATTAAACAAATTCCTATAAATAAAGAAGTATACTTTAGGGCTTTGGTTAATATTACACTTTACTACATTATTCATTTTATATTATTCAGCTCTTTAAAAAAACTGATGTAAAACAACTGTTTCATTTGTGATTTATTAAAACAAAGTAAAAAATAGTGAATAAATAAGTAAAAGTTAAAAAAAACGAGGACAAGTGTATCAAGGAAAAATAATTACTCTAGTGTTTCTGGAGGAAAGACAATGAGATTATAAAACTAAGCAAATAAAAGCATAAAAAAGGAACATTATAAAGAATAAGGAGAAAATGAGAAGTAAAAAATTAGAATCTTCATACAAGTTACAGATTCTCTATACGCTTCCTACTCCCATATATTTTTATCCTTAGGAAATTGTCTTTTGAAAAGGTTTTCACTTCTCATTGTTTATTAACATTTGTAGTCATTAAATTTTACTTTATATAAATTTATAATTGTGATTCTTCAATTCTATAATAGCTTTGATTCCAAGAAAATATAGTCTATATAAAATCAGTCTTTTAAACAAGTTATTTCCTATACATTAGTCAGAATCAATTCAATCATGTATTTTTAGACAAATTTTTATCTGCTTAAAAATATAAAGCCTATTTTTTATGGTATGAATTATTAGGCATCTTAAAATATATAACTTGTAAAGAGTATATATGTTATATATTCTTCAAAAATTTATTGTTTATTTGT